GAAGATGATTGACACAAAGACGTCGGTCCATGGTGAGAGAGGTCATTTTTTCCATCCGTCAGCGATTGCTTAGATGGGCCGAATTTTGAAAGAAGTCACCAAATGTCGAGATATGAGATCAGCGGTGTCAACATCAGGGCGAGGATTCCAGTTGGCAAAATAGTAAGGAAATTTGCCGCGTGTGGGGCACTGCGACCAAGTGATGGAGGGGGTCAGTGGACAAAGGATGGCAGTAAATGCATAGTTGCAGAACAAAAATCGTCACCTGAGCGATTCGAACACTCGCGCACAAAGTGCAACCGCTATAGCTGAATAGCAGGCGATCCCGTTAACCACTCCGGCAAAGTGACCATAAGAAGCGGCGTATTCCATGTGGTCAGGTCATCAGCTAGTTAACATGCCGATGGTAAAAACCAAAGAACAGCCGGAGGATGAGCTTCATCTCACCATCGTAACATTTGAAACAAAACACTCGTCACCTGAGCGATTCGAACACTCGCGCACAAAGTGCAACCGCTGAATGCCAACCATGTAAAGACAAGGTTATAGCAGGCGATCCCGTTAACCACTCCGGCAAAGTGACTGTGAACGGCGAGGAGGACGCCGAATCTGCATGGGGGGCCGTGCGCCACATCAACAAAAGCATCCGTCACCTGAGCGATCACTCGCGCACAAAACCGCTGAATGCACGCCGTAAACGCTGATCGCGATGGTAGAGAGCGTTTTCTGGAGCGTTCTCCTCATCGCCCGCTGTGCGAGCCCATCTCACAGGTGTCGGGACGAAGCCATTCTGCACAGCGCTCGAGCGATGCTTGGTGACGTCACGATCTCCCCGCCGTCATTCGCCTTAAACGGTAGCCCCTCAAGGTGAGCGTTACGGGCGCTCTCTCACCAGACTTCCATCTCACATTGTCATCTCACTTTTCTATTGCTATAAAAGTGTCGATTTCGATTACTACCTAACTCAGTGAGACAGCCGTGTCTCGCGATCGCCATCTCAACCTCCTCATTTTATTTTATTATTTTCATTGTGTTGGCATCTTTTCATCTCGTTCAGCGTGAGGCTCAGTATTTTGATGTTTGATGTTTGATTAGTAGTTCAATTGATTTTCGTCTGTATCCAGTCGGTTTGACTTCTGTATCAATCCTTCGTGGACCCTCCCACCCGGACCCTTGCGCCACCTCCTGAAACGATTCATCCACGCCGGTTGCCCGCGGCATAGGCTTGCGAAGCACTGCCATAAGAGATCGTCAAAACAACCACGACGCCGAGAATCAGCCTTTCTTCCCCATCATGCGAGTGGCTTCCAAGTGATTGACGTCAATATAAAATGATGGAACAGAACGTTGCGCGCCTGTCTGCCATCTGGTGATGAAAAAAGCGTCACCTGAGCGATTCGAACACTCGCGCACAAAGTGCAACCGCTTCACATTCGTAGCTTGAGAAGCACGGAAATAGCAGGCGATCCCGTTAACCACTCCGGCAAAGTGACTGTGCAACCCTAAGAGACTCGCGGGGATAGGTTAGGATACCTCCTCGCAGGCGAAAAGGGGCGAGCTAGTGCCGGTCCCCGTTTCTTGCCAGCAGCAGCAGCAGCAGCAAGAGATTGCTTGGGGGATGTCGATGTCCCCCGAGTATAACAAGTCTTGGGCTTGGACAGCTCAATAGTTGCCCAGGGAGACTAGAGCTCAGAGTCAAGACGCGCACGGAAGGAATCCCCGACCATTAAATCACAGCTACCACGAGCTTCACCCGGAGAAGCGCTACGCCACAGACACATATACGTAGCCCGATCCCCGTCGATCGACGGATACAAAAATTTCAATAGAATCGGACGGAAGCAAAAATGTCGCATCACTGGCGCATTCCTCCAGCGACCAAAAATCTCGTCACCTGAGCGATTCG